GGATTTATTAGAAAATGATAAATTGCATAAAGACAATGATTGTCCTGTTTTCCCAACAGTTGTCGAATGGGAGGGACTACCTAAGTTTCTATCACAGACGTTGGACGTAGGTGTCCCATATTGTTGTAGAAATCAAGAAAGTGGTCTTCTTGATGATAGCGATGAAATGCGAGAAGTGTGTGTCAGCCGGGGCCTAGATTACGATACACTCGGTCCCGAAGGGTACGTACACGATATTGACGAAGAAGTTGAAGACAGTGACAATGGAATAATGCCAGACTACGACGATAATGGCGAATGACAATTGGTTTTTTTTCTTGGGTTGTATGTTAAATTATTGTACTTAAGTATTAATGCTAAATATAAAAAATACTTAATACCAATGGAAACATAATTTTATTTCATACATTCTGCAAGATGAACATGTACATACATTCATTAAAACTAACTACTGGAAAAAATACTACGGGTATCCTTGATAATTGGTCACATTAGATGAACTTTCACTGGGAGCTGAATTACCACCGCCACCAAACCAGCTGAAGGACATTTACGATGGTCATGTCCTATTTGCGAGCATATGCCACATTTACGCGCATAAACGGTATCACCAACATCCATTTGGTTCCTTATACGCATTTTTTTGCACTTGTCGCTGACGCAAATACTCAATGTTACACACCATTTTAAATGGTTCCGGCGGCCAATAATGCTCAACACCCACTGGCTGCAACTGTCCACTATAGGTGTTTAAGTATGTAATAATACTATATTCCTTATCAACGTAGCTTGTTGCCGCGATACCTGTATGTTGAAAGCACTTCATGGCATGCGAGCACGACATGTGGTAGATGGACCATTTTCCACAAGAGCACAACCTTCTAGCTTCCTTTACGGTATGTGTATTATTCCCCCGGTTTTGATGGATAACGGTGCGAACTTCAAAAATATTTCGCTCGTTGCAATATTGTAAATATGAAGCCAATGTGCTCGCCTTCTTTATTTCTCAAATCTTTTCATTGATATTGGCATAAATTCAACACCCCTCTCCATCAATGACGATGCACCTCTAGCCCTTTCAACAAACCTCTCCGCCATCTGCTTGAATGACATCTGCACCATGGCAATGACAGGCAATCCACGTGCAGAATTCAATAACCCGTTGAAAAACTCTGACACATTTGTAGTCAGAATTCCCCATCGTCTGCCACCATCCGCATACAATGTCCACTTGTCAAGCTCACGTCGCATCAACCAATGATAGGCTCCTTCGTCTTCCTGCCTGATCGATTCCATGAGCCTCCTGAATTTGCACTCTTTGTGATATGTTGCAGCCATCCATATTAAATCGTGCAAGTTCTTGTTGGGATATGCCTTATGGAAATTGGACTTCAGGTGCCTCTCCATGCTGATCAGATATTAGACAAATACTTGAACGTTGTCTGACAACGTGCTCTTTCAAGTGGTTCAGAAATAGTATCCACGTCTCTTGGCTTTCATTGGCATAAATAGCAAAAGCTATGGGAAATATACTTCCATTAGCATCTACTGCAACGGCGATCAACAATTTAATATCATACTTTCCATAGACATGAGTGTCGTCTATGGATATTACTGGCCGGCAATGCACAAAACCATCAATTGCTGGTTTAAATGCTCAGAACACACAACTGAATATATGTTTTGGTATCCACTCAAGCTTCTATTGAACAACAATCCCGGGGTTAAAGTGTTATCATGCGGCCATGTACCTGGGTAGAGATGCAAATGACTTATCCCAGTTACCATAAATAATTTCAAACGCACGTTTGCGCCCGAGAAATGCCTTTCTTTTGGTAAAGGTACACCTATATTCCTGGTGGACAGATGTAATACACTCTTTGATCTTGTACCTTATGGACGCTTCAATGTGTGGAATCAAGACAAGAGAAATCAAGTCAACATCCAAGTTAAAGTGATTCCCACTAAATGTGTCAATTTCACAATTGTGGGTGCCAATCCCACAACCCGCATACTTGTTTTCTTCTTCCTCGCACGCAACATCCAATTATAACCCGTAAACCATCTACGACAAATAACCTTGTATACATCCGGAGATGATTCCCATACCATCATCTCACGACACTCTTTTACGCTGTACATTTTCACCGCCCTACTTAGGCGCGCTTTATCAGGAAAAAGCATGACCTTTGACAGCACCGTTGGACTAGATTCATCCCACATTGCTGTCCGAATTTCATCAATATCCCTTTTGAGGGCATCCACATTCAGCATACTTGGAAAATGATCAAGGTAGAAAATCTCCTTGAATGAAACGGCACGTGGGACTCGTACACTCTTGGTCTAACGGAAGGTGGAGCATGCTCCTTCGTCAAATCAAGTTCAACATTCTCTTCCTCCTCCTCATCACCCTCGCCAGGGAAGAGTGTGTCATCTCTAGACTCATCGGCATTATTGTCATAATCACTATTCTCTTCCTGACTCTGCGCATCTGCCAGATCCCGATTAAATATGTCGTCTTCGGGAAATTGAGTAAGGACATGACCATCAAGTTGCACGTTTTCACTGCACAACCAACAAAATAACGAGTTACTCAAATTGGTCCAAACTTTACATACAACTTTATATATTCACTTACAAATCATATGTGTTGATATCCCATGATGCATATTATCTTGTTGATGATGACTCTCGGATGGACCACCATGATCCAACATACCAAAACTAGGCATATTCCAACTGGCCATTGGTTCATAACTTGTAAAATTCATATCTGGTCGGTACCCTCTGTGGAATATATGAGTGTTAATACAAATTCAACACATAAAAATATACATCGTAGCACAAAGAAAAATTAAAGATTACCACTCGGCTTGTGGATTATGTAAACTAGGGGAGAAATTATTTCCTCGCTCCTCATTCGCCCTTGGAGATAAGTTTAGATCAGGCCAAACTATTTCAGCCGGAACCTGTTCGGCTAAAATTGCTCCAAAATAACCACCCGATGATTGAGGGATATCCCTACTTTGCGCAACCTCATTATTGCGAATGTCTTCAGCCTTGATACATTTCCAATAGTTTTATCACAATAAATCCCGGGTATTCATCCGGAGTCCTCAAAAAATCTCTCAGAGTTTCATTGTCTTCGATGTTAAACTCAGCATAAAAGCAACCCCTTGCGGAGTCACAAAATACAGATATCTTCCGATTACTTTAATATTCACCTAACGTTTGCTCACACTCATTTTTTTTTACATAACAACGATACCAATGTATCATACTCCATTGTAAGTGGCAACTTAACATGACACCGTGGAGATAAACTATAGCTTACTGAGTTATTCACCATAGAGGTGGGCATCGGTCGGTTCGGTTCGATTATGAATATTATCGGTTTAGCATATCGGTTATCGGTTTACAAATTTGATAAACCGATAAGATATCGGTTAATCGATTATCGATCATTATCGGTTCGGTTATCGGTTTACCCGATAAGATAACTCAATCTAGAGTTAAGCAAAAAAGAGAAGACAATTCACTAGAGTTAAGCAAAAAAGAGAAGAATTCACATATACTATACTAAAGACTTACACTAGGAGTAACTAGAAAGGTCTATGAAGAATGAAGATGAAGCAACTGAAGAGTTCGGTTGAGAACGAATAGGAGAGAATGAACTGAAGCCCTAGCATTTGTATATACATAAGGATAAAGTCGTAATTTTATTAATTCTTATTGGGTTATTGGTTAACCCATTAGCAAAATTGGCAAACCGAGGCCCGAACCGATAACCCAATAGTGAAAAAATTCTAAACCGTTATCGAACCATTAACCCAATAACCCGATACCGATAACCCAATAAGCAATTAACGGTTCGGGTTATCGGTTTTACCCGATATATGCCCAGGCCTAATTCACCACCACAACCTCACCCTCCCAATATAACGAAACCCTAATTCTTTGCTCTTCAGACATTATGACAAAATGCAAAATAACTTAACGAAGAAATATTTCACAAGACTTGAGAATATTTCTAAATGGATTTTTACAAAATCCTTAACGTCTTTAAATAAGGAAAAAACCAATCCGGGGGTCGAATTTTTTGACGTATACTGCCTTAAATAAGGGCGCTATACCCATTTGAATTATTGTTATGTCAGTTAAGCCCAGAACAATTATTTGTGGGCCCACAAAATCCGTATAGCGCAGTAAGGAAGAGCGTTAT